GGGGTCCTGAGCAAGCCGGACGCCTGTCCTCCACCCTCCGCTTCTGAAACTGGGAGAGACATTTACACAAGCAAAAGTGGAGTCCTGAGCAAACTGGACGCCTGTTCTCAGTCCTCTGCTTCCAAAACTGGGAGAGACATTTACACAAGCAAAAGGAAGAATCCCTGGGGAGGTCACAGATCGATGCCTCATATGTGTGACCACACCAGGGCTGGTCTGCAGGCCCCAGGCTGAAACCCCAGGCCCTGCCACCTGCACATTCCAGCCCACACCTCTACCACCCACAAGCCATACGGCCGCAAGGCTCAACTCCCTGAAGGCTGACAAGACAAATGCAGCACAGCACATGTGGCTGTCTAAATTCAGTTTTGTTCTGAGACCGGGTCTCACTCTGTTGCCCAGTCTGGAGCAGTGGCATCATCATGACTCACTGAAGCCTCAAACTCCTGGCCTCAAGTGATCCTCCCACCTCAGCCTCCCAAGTAGCTGGGACCACATCCAACTAATTTTTTAACTCTTTGTAGAGATGGGGTTTCGCTTCGTTGCCCAGGCTGGTCTCGAATTCATAGGCTCAAGCAGTCCTCCCACTTTGGCCTCCCAAAGCCTCACCTTTCATTAAAATGAAATTCAACTTTGAACTCAGGCCTTGGCCACACCAGCCTCACCGTAAGGTCTGAGTGATACACGTGGCTAACGGGCAGGTGAGGGGCAGACCCGAACCTCCCACAGAAAGCTCTTGGAGCAGCCCCAACTCACTCAATAGAGCTTTTCCTTTCAGAACAAACATCTACCTGGGTATATGTCTAAACTGACTCTCTTTCCCTTAAGGTTTTTAAATAGAAAGGAGTTGATAAAAGTAACATACCAGAAATAACAAGAGTTCTCAAGTTTAACTTCAAAAGGGGGAAAAAAGAGCTTCTGGAGTCTGACAAACAGCTCAATGAAAATAAAGCATGAAAGGGTATAAAGAAAGCCAGGGCTTCTCAACTCAGGGTTAGGCCCACACACCTCCCCGGCTCTTCTCACATACCTGAAGCAGTCCAGCACAGACCCGACCACATCATCCGCCAGGGCTTTGGGAAGCCTGCCAGCCATCCTACCGATTCTGAAAGAGAAACGCAGCAATCCGTCAGGGGCACCAGCCTGTCGCCAAGGGCATGCGTGACACGTGTGAACATCCTGAACAAAAGCCTTTCCTCCACAGACCAAGAGAGGAGGGGCCGACTCCAGGAAAGCCTACACCCCGCTCGGAGCCCCCGTGGTAAAATACGCTGAAGGGTAAAGCAGCCTGCACACGTCTGAAGCCAGCCAGATTCAAAAGCGACGAGTGAGCACACGGAGCACGGGGCAGGTCACCATGTACCACCGTGACGTGGACACCGCAGGCCACCAGTGACGGCTGAGGGCAGCAAGGCAGCAGGCAAACGCTGAGGGCTTCCCCTTGACCCTCCCTACTGGAGCAGGGCTTCCTCTGTGCCGCCCCAAATACTGACTGCGCAGGTTCCCCTCAGGCCAGGTGAGATGGGCTCACGGCCCCACAGGGAGGCCGCCTGGGGCTGGCTCACAGGGTCCAAGTCCCTGGAGATGGCCCCGCGGGGAAGGTCCTGGCCAGAGGCCTCCAGGAAGGACCCTGGGAAGGCCTGCCCAGCCTCTCACTGCATGGGCCTATCACATTCAACCAGACAAGGCTCCGGGCTGAGAAGCTATCCCCTGTGAACAGCAACACAAAGGCCTATATGAGCCCCTGCAGCCCTGTGGAGCTCCTAGAGCTCATCATATGGACTGACCCAGCATAGATGCACAGGAGAGCAAGGGCAAAAACCAGCCTCCCCATCCCCCAGCATCTGCTGGCCCCTCTACCTGCCTCATCCCCCAGCACCTACCGGCCCCTTGCACCTGCCTCATCCCCTCCACAGAAGGGACCTCCAACACCTCAGCACCTTCTTCACGTATATCACTGTCCATGCACAGCCCAAGCCCACAGGGCCACCAGCTCCTCCAGGCCAGGGCTCCACCTGCGGTGCTCAAGGCCAGGCCCTACTAGATCTGCCCCACAACCTCCACTGAGGCCCGGGATGCAGGGTGCGTGTCGGCTCCCACTGGTATGACAGGTGCTAGTGAGGGGTGAGTGAGGGGCTGGTACCTCGCTCACCCCACAAAAGAGGGCTCTTCGCTGAGTACCATCACTGTAGGAGCCGTGACCCCCATCTGTGGGGAACGACAGGTAGGGGAGCACAGTGAGGAGGATGTGGAAAAACAAGGGAACATTTTGAAGATAAACAGGTAAACCTGGTCTGCTCATGACCCGGCAGGGCCAGCCAGAGGCAAGAGGACGGAGGAGCCTAAAGCTCCACCTCGGGAATCATCTTCACACCAACGCATAAAGTAACACACGTTAAGTTGGAGAGGTCGCGGAGGGGCCACGCTGCCACTCCAAAGTTGTCGGGTATTTGTAGCTGTTGAATCGCACTTGAGAGGCTGGTCCACTCCCCAGGGTGCTTCTGTGGCCGCGGACACCTACCCTTTGGCTGCAGACCACCGCACAACAGTGTCCTTGTCCTTCAGTCCGACCAGCAGCTGCTCTGTAGGAAGAAGGTAGTGATGCACGACAGAGTCCACACCAAGTTCCTAGTTTCCCAGCCGTAAGGTGACCCATCCTATACGCTACTCAGTGCATATGATGAAGGGAATTACATTAACAATACTAATTGTAATGACAGGAAAAGAACATTTCCTTCTCTTCCTTCTCAAATAATCACATACAGCCAAGTTCCTAAGTTCTCTGTTCCTAAGAAACAGATCTACCCCATCAAAGCAGGCGACAGGGAGCAGCTGCCTGCCTGCCCCCAGGTGAAGGCCAACATCAAGGGCCCCACCCAGGCCAGGGGAAGGGCCCACAGCTCAGGGGTGACCAAAGTGGGCTGGGAAGCTTCCAGAGAAAACCCCTGGCCAGCGGCTGCACAAAGATGTCTCTCCCAGGGACCAGGCCTTGGCTGAACTTTTAAGTTTTAACCACACAGAAGCCTAGAGGACGCGGGGAGGGGCTGGGTCACACGGTGAGGGCCCTGCAAGCCCCAGCAGGGATGAAGCCTCAGCCTGAGGGCACCAAGCAGCCCTGGGAAGACCCGGAAGGAGAAGCTCGCTGAGTGACCACAGGGGAGGGTGGAGGGACAGTCTGGAGCCAGCACAGCAGCTGGAATGCAGGCAGAGGGGACTGCCTGCAGGGGGTGGGAGACAGGAATGAGCCTGGGGCAGGTGGCGGACACGGGGAAAGGGCAGACCCAGGACCCCGCCCGGGACTTGGAGCCGCCCAGCACAGATGCGGGCGCCTACCACGCAACCAGGGAGGGCTCTGAGAAGCAAAGGTCAAGGGAAGGGCCAGAGTGCATGCTGGCTCGGGGCTGGCAACGGCGCCGCAGGCGCCCTGATGGTCACGGTCGAGGTGGGGTGCAGATGACTCTGGGCAGAAACCGGCCCTGGAGGGAGCGGAGGGGATGTGAGCAGAGGGCGGCACAGCACAGGCAGCGCAGCCCCGCCCGCCCATCAGGAAGCTGGGGACACTGGGAGGATGGGGGCCTCACAGGGAGGGGACATGAGGAGGCCCTGCCTGGGTCCAGGGAAGACCTCATCCAACCGGCAGCAGGAGGGCAGGACAGTGTGTGGCCAGCAGCCGGTCCCAGGATGGCCGCCATGAGGGGCTCCGCTGACAGCTCTAACTGTCTCTGTGCAGTAGGAGACCCCACAGGAGGAGAACAGGGCAGTGGATGGAGACCCCTGCAAGGTGTAACGTGGTTTAAGGGAGTTTGAAACGGCTCCTGAGGTAAGGAACTGAGCAGGGTTTAGGGGCCAAGGAGCCAGAGACCTGAGCCCCAGGGACCCCAACTCAATTTCCTGGGAGAACTGTTTCCTGAGGACACGCCCAGCTGTCCAGGTCAGGAAGGTAGGGAGACGGTGGGAAAAAGGGCTTCTATGGCACACAGGAAGAGACTGTCCACAGGCAGGGACAGGCCTGGGTTCAGGAGCCAGAGGACAGGCAGTGACCATGCACTGGCCAAAGGGAACCGGTGGCCAGACAGTGCTGGCACCAGCAAGGGAAGAAGGAAGTGTGGTCCTGGAGTGGAGGGGAATTGGCCTGACGATGCCCAAGAGCAGAGGCCGCCGCTTAGACCCCACGCACCTATCACGCTCTCCACGCCCTCTGGGACGTCGTCATCTTCGTCGGCATCCTCGGTCGGGATGAGCGGCTTCTGCTCGCTCTGGCCCTGAGCGAGAAGCTGCAGATTTGCAGCCAAGGATCGGCAGCCACGCTGATACCTGTGCAAACAAAGCATCCTCAGATCGGCTTTGCAGCTCACAGCATCCTGAAGACTGAAATCAGTCATTTACTGTCACTGAATCTTAAAGGATGCCTGTGAAAATTCCACGCACTTTGCAGAGACCGGATAAGAATGGGAAACCCGGAGGCACCGCCATCAGCACAAACTGCCAAGACGACCCTGGTGTGAGCCACGACGCACACCCTGATTCCACAGCGTCCTCACCTGCTGTCCAGTTTTGATTATGGAAAGTCAGGAGAGAAGGCATGATGATGGGTACACAGACGACAGGACCAGCACCTTCCCCGGGAAAGCACCCGGCCTCTGGGACCCTCTGCTTCCTGAACAGCCACCACCGCCACCGCCCAGGCCACGCATGGCCCCTTCATCGCCAGGAGCTGCGTCTCACCCGTCACCAGTTCCTACAGATCCTGCCTCCCGAATGCCCCTCAAAAGGCAACAACGTGTAGCCCTCTTCACACCCACGTGGGCACCTGCATCGTTATCCCCGACGGGGCCCACGGCACAGGCCCCGGGACCCGGCTCCTGGTCAGGCCTGCTCTACGCCTGCTTGCTGTGTGAGTCTGCACAGCTCCTGAGCCACTCCACGCCTCCACTTCCCCCGCTATAAAATGGGAACACAGACCTACTCAGAAGCTGTGTGAGGAGCGGTGAGAGTATGTGCTTGGAGTGCAGCCCAAGCTGAGCAAGGGCCCGCACTGAGCAAGGGCCCCTCGAACACGACTGCTCCTGCCAAGGGTGAGCGCAGGGCAGGCAGCCTGGCTGTGGGTCCCGCTTACTGGGCCTCATGCAGAAAAGGTGTCCAGTGAGAGTTCAGGGCAGCTGCTGTGGCTGTAGCCTGAGACAGCTTTGCAGAGGACAAACAACTTGGGCTTCGGAGGCAGAACCAGAACTCACACACTGATGTTGACACCATCAACCTGCCTCAAATGACTCATCCTAGCTCCAGCTCTCTGGCACTCAGTTTCCAAGTCCAGGAAACAAGGAGAGGGGGGTTTCCAAGATGGCCTCGTGACCCCCGCCTCCTGGCGTTCCTCTCACACAGGGTGTGGCACGGGCCCAATGATTCCCTCCCAAAGAACAGAATACGCAGAGTCTGGCGAGAGTTGCCACCTTTCAAACAGCTGCGGTCTCCCCCCGCCTCTCAGCCTCCAACGAAGCCAGCTGCCATGCTGTGCGCTGCCCTGCAGAGGGGCCCATGTGGTAAGGACTTCAAAGGGGTCCCCACCAACAGCCCACAAGGCGCCGGGTCCTGACGGAACCCATGAGGAGCATGGAAGCAGAACCCCCCGACGCAGGCCTTGAGATGGCAGTGGCCAGGCTGGCACCTTCACAAAGCCTCAGGAGAGACCCTGGCTGGGGACCTGGCTGAGCCACGTCCAGATTCCAGACCCACTGAAACTGTGAGGAAAAAGTGCACTGTTCAAGCTACTAAATTTAAGGGTACACTGTTATGTAGGGTAACTAGGATGAACAGAGTATCATCACCCATCATAAGACTGTGGCAGAGACCGTCAGGCACCCAGCAAGACGCCTAATGCCTCACGAGGAGGCACACCCCGGCCCCCACTCTCCCCTAACGCCCCACAGGCAGGTGCACACCCCGGGCCCAGTCTCCCCTAACACCCCACAGGCAGGCACACCCCAGCCCCTTGTCTCCTCTAAACTCCAAGGTACACCTCGGCCCCCACTCTCCCCTAATGCCTCATGGGCAGGCACGCCCCATCCCTCACTCTCCCCTAACGCCCCACAGGCAGGCACGCCCCGGCCCTCAGTCTCCCCTAATGTACTACAGGCAGGTGCACACCCCAGACCCCAGCCTCCCCTAACGCCCCACAGGCACGTGCACAGCAGCCGCCACTCTCCTCATGGAAGTGCGCAGCTCAGCCACCTCACAAAGATCAGATAGCACCACAAAGACAATGACCTCAGGCTGCTTCCGTACATGCCCTCCTGACCTCAACAACGGTGAGACTCGGACAGAAGGCATAAAGCCACTGTTGGCCAGCAGGTGATGGCAGCCAAGGTAGGGCAACAATCCCCAGCGAGGGAAAGCTGCAGGTGCACCACCTCCACCTCCTCCCCACAGGAGTACTTTCTAAACTGTACCAGGGAAACGGCCCAGGGAGCAGCAGTCTCACTGGGTGGAGGGTTCATATTTGGGGAAGAGGAGAGGAGAAGAGAGCTGCTGAGAAAGGGCCCCAAAACTCTGCCCCAAAATTCCCATGGATCCCTGGGCACCCCAAGATGAGGAGGCACAAGGCGAGACTCAGACGCACCTGTCAGAGAATAGCTGGGAGGCCGAGTGCTGCAGAGAACTTGGAGACTGTGCAACCCTCAGAGGGCCCAGCAGGACGGGAGGGAAAGCCGTGACTTCCACCGAAGACCCTGAGAGGCTACAGACTTAAAGCAAGGACCCTGCTGTGGAGGAAAGACCCATCCCTGGAGGAAAAGAGCTGAGACAGACCCACCCTAACAAAGCCTCAAGCCAAGGCTGGGCAGGAAGAGTGAGAAGAACCAGGAATCTAACAGCCCCCAGAGCGTAAGTCCATCCTCTTTAACAGAAGGTAACCAAGAAAAGAATGGTACTAAAAGAGACAATGAAAATCCAACCGAGGAGATAAAAATGGAAACAAGTTAGAAATATGTAAGAAAAAGGAAACATACAGGAAGATGGAAGAGAAAAATAAACACAAGAACAGGGACTAAAACCCAGCCACGTTAGAATTACGTGAAATGTATGTAGCAACACGTACATCATTATCGAGAGAACTAGGAATTCTGGATTATTTTCCCTATCAACACTTCAGTGCTTGTGATGCTTAACTTTACATGTCAAGCTGACTGGGCCATGGGCGCCCCGCTATTTCATCACACCTGCTTCCAGTGCTTATGTGAGGGGCTCTGGACGAGCAAAACATGTAAATCTGTAGATAAAGTCAGGCAGGGAAACCTGCCGAATGCAGGGGGCCTTGTTCAGCCAGCGGAAGGCCCCAGTAGAACAAAAGGCCGGCCCTCCCGGAAGACGAGGGAAGCCCTCCTGCCTGGCGATCTCTCAGCTGGCCTTGTTCTGTCTTCAGACTAAAACCAATCAGCTCTTCCTGGGTCTCCACCCTGAGGTCTTTGGCCAAGAACCACCATGAGCTCTCCTGGTCTCCAGCTCACAGCCTCGCCGATGCACACATCCTGTGGGCTGCTTCTCCGGAAAACTCCGCCTGGTACAGCACTGAACATTCCCCACAGCAGCACTGAGAAACCAGCCGCCAACACTGCAGCAAGAAAGACGGCTGCACCTTCTCCGACAGTCTCTGAAAGGGAGCCTGTCACTCAGACTCATCACAGATCAGATGCAGCTTTCCCCACAGCGCACCCACACCAGGGAGGCCGCACCGCCTCTGAGCCACACGATGCACACGCCGCCCTCCTGTCACGCCAGCTGCAGTTCCTCCAACTGGGAGATGCAGTCAGAAAATAACCAAAAGAAAACCATTCCTCTCGAAATCAGAAACACTTCTGGGATTAAAGAAATGAATGAAAGCAGAAAACACTTGTTACTAACGCGCCTTCTCTGCCATCACCACTGGACCCGAAAGCCACAGCACCGGCCAGACAGTGCCCCCGACTGTGTCCAGAACCACGGCACCTGCCTCCCCACCCCACAACAGGGCACCTGCCTCCCCACAGCACCTGCCCCAACAGCACCTGCACCCCCGTCAATAGCACCTGCCCCCCACAGCACCCTTCCCCAGGCGCCGCCCTCACGGTGCCTACCTCCATGCCGCCACCCTCGGCTTCAGGAAGGTCAGCCCCAGTCGCTGCACAAGCTTCACCCCCAGCTTCCGCAGCAGGGTCTGGTTGCTCTCAGGGAGTTTGCAGTCATCGAGGCACCTGAGGACGGTGGCAGCTGCAAACAAGAGCCGGCCTCAGCGTGGGGAGGGTTGCAGGCATCTTCTGACTGCACCACCTGTGTCCCTGAAGCCAACAGCCGGCTCCACAGGGGTCTCGAGGCAGGAGACATCACCGAGACCCCCATCATCCCAAATTGTGAACCAAGAGCTGCTAGAGTTGAACCTACTCAACTTCCTTGCTGTGAAGCAACAGCGGTGGAGGTCAGGAGAGCAGGAGCCAACCTGAAGGGGGGCAGCACACACAAAGGCCCAACCGGCCACGGGCACACTGCAGCCACAGAGACCACGCAGGCCACGGGCACGCTGCGGCTGCAGAGAACACACAGGCCACAGGGCATACTGAAGCTAGGGAGAGCACACAGGTTCCTGTGGCTTGCTCTGTTTTTCAGGGGGAATCACTCGGTGTCATGCAGCAACGACAATAGCAGGACAGGAGGCTGAGCCAAGGGGAGGCTCAAGGCAGCGCTGGGCACAGCAGGACAGGCAGAGCCTGCGAGCAGGAGACGCCCGGGGGGCTGTGGGGGCAAGCTGAGGCCAGGAGGACAGCATTCGCAGGACAGACAAAGGCTGGGGTGGACGTGCATGGCGGCTTCAGAGATGGGCTGGAGGTGAAATGGACAAGACTGCAACCAGCTGACAAGGGAGAGGAGAAAAGCAGCTGAAGACAGAGCTGAGAGTTAGGTGAGGTGATGGAAGACAAGGAGATGGAGGAAGGGACAGTGGGGTGGGGACAGGGCAGGGGGATGGGGGCTGGAGCTGCAGGACCCTGCGGGAAGCTCTGCCTGGAGGCTGGGAAATGACAGAAAGTGAACATTCACCAGTTTTAGGTGGGCTCATGACCTCGGGCAGAGGTACTGTTTAACTCATAATGCTTGCCTATAAAACCAGGTCAGCTGTAAGAGCATCTGAGTAACTTCTCAGAAGGCTCCGACAGTGGGCAGGACGAGCGTGGGTGACAAGCATGACAGCCCAAGAGGGAGGAGGTCTGTGTTCACGTCACCAAGGACGCTCCTCCCACCAACAGGGCCTGGCAACTGCTGCTCGCGTTTTCAGGTGTGGTGAGGACATTAAGGGCCCCACCTTCCAGAGACATATATGGAAGCACACACAGGTGAGATGGCACTGCGTGTCCCTCCTGCACGGTGCAGGGATGAAACGGGCCGTACATGAGAACTCACACACTCCTGAGAAATATATGGAAGCACACGCAGGTGAGATGGCACCGCGTGTCCCTCCTGCGCGGTGCAGGGATGAAACGGGCCGCACATGAGAACTCACACACTCCTGAGAGGGACACGGGGCGTATGCACCACTCTCTCTTCTTTATACATGTTTCAAATTTTCCATAATGAAAAACTTTGAAAAAAAGAAAGTTACTCAAATCTGATATTCAGTAGCTTCTAAAACACAAAGGCTCTAAGAAGTTTCTTTCTCCAGATGGCAGACCTCTGCATGGAGAGAAACACTGCCCTTATTTTCAGAAATCAAGGTTCAATCTAAAATTAAGAGAATTGGGCCAGACGTGGTAGCTCATACCTTTAAGCCCAGCACTTTGGGAGACCAAGGCAGGGCAGATCACTTGAGCCCAGGAGTTCAAGACCAGCCTGGACAACACAGCAAGACCCCACTGCTACAAAAAATACACAAATTAGTCGGGCATGGTAAAGCTCGCCTGTAGTCCCAGCCACTCAGGAGGCTGAGGTGGGACGATGGCTTCAGCACAGGAGGTCGAGGCTACAGCAAGCTGTGTCATACCACGGTACTCCAGCCTGGGAGACACAGTAAGACCCAGTCTCAAAAAGAATACATTAAGAGAATTAGGAAGAAGGCAAAAGAGGTGGTGGCTGTGGCTATCAGAGGAACATGGCTGCTACCGGGTCCCAAAAGCCAGGTCCAACCTCCGATCATAACACAGGCTTTGCCCAGACCTCCCTCACGAGGGAGGGAGCAGCAATCCCTCTTTATGAAAGGACTAGGAAAGTGACGAAAAGTCCAGTTATGATGCTTGTAATCCCAGCACTTTGGGAGGCCGAGACGGGTGGATCACGAGGTCAGGAGATCGAGACCATCCTCGCTGACACGGTGAAACCCCGGCTCTACTAAAAAATACAAAAAACTAGCCGGGCATGGTGGCGGGCACCTGTAGTCCCAGCTATTAGGGAGGCTGAGGCAGGAGAATGGCGGGAACCCGGGAGGCAGAGCTTGCAGTGAGCTGAGATCCGGCCACTGCACTCCAGCCTGGGCGACAGAGCGAGACTCTGCCTCAAAAAAATAAAAATAAATAAATAAATAAATAAATAAACCTTACCATAGGGCAAGCAGTCTTCACGTTTTCCATGTTTAAATATTTGTGCCTAAAAAAAAAAAAAAAAAGTCTTTTAATGTTACAAATACAAGTTTAAAGCACAAATTGTAAAAACAATTCATCACATCTTTCAGAATTTTTATTCTAAACACTCACCACCTAATAATAAAGAAAACACTTTCTGTACACGATAATTGTAAGAGACTAGTGAAATCATCTCCCAAAAGTTCATCTGAAAACAGGGATGCAGTGGTAAGTCCAGTCCCCTCTTGGAGGCTGCAGCCTCTCCACCCCTCCCTCATCGCGGCATCACAAAACACGTCCGGGTTTAAGTTCAGGGCACTCCTAGCCTGGAAAAAGAAGACATCTCAGTAGGTTTTTAAAAAGTATCTGTGTATAAAGAAAGACACAAAGGAGTAAAGTTACAGGCCAAACCACCTCACAGAGGCTTCCATCTGCATTCATGCTTCACCAACAAATAAGAAGGGCGACCGGTTCAGCCCGGGTCTCACACACACACCTGGCAGCCGGGTCCCCACGA